ACCATACTCTGCCACAATATATTTAGCAGTAGTAAATAGCTCTTGAGGTAAACTTGTTTTCTCTAAAGTGTTCTTGAAGGGCTAAAACAAAGCAGAGTGAAGCTGACCCCAAACCCACTTGAAACGTAAAGGCAAATAGGCGGAACGGTTAGTGCTACGTTTGTGCTGATTTGTGCAGGTACAATTAGTGTTTGTGCTACTACACTTTCTGAGATATAGGTTGATCTCAGTGAAATATGTTAGTGAATGAAATCACCGAACTCGATTACAGCTTTCAGTCATGGCTGAGGTCAAACACTAGGATCAGAATTTGATCGTATTACTGCAGCTGTATGTAGAGACCAAGGTCTGTGGACTTGTCTCTCATTTTTCATAATAAATTGATTTGAGTCACTCTGCTTCATGTGTGTGTGTGCAAACTCGCAGACGACCAATTACACTGTTGAAAAATGAAAGCACATTTTAATCAGAGTAGCATCAATCAGGTAAACATCTGTGAGTGTTAAATAGTTTCAGCTGCTGTGCTGTTAATGAAATTAACAGCAGGTGCAACAATGAGGCAAACCCTAAAGCAGCAGCGGTTTAACAGGTGGAGGACACTCGTGTTTTTCTCATCTTTTTAAAACTAGTTCTGAATTTGGCTCAGGCCAGTTTCACTACTGATATCAAGACGTGATACCTGGACACAGCACGGGTTGCACAGGTAGCTGCTCCAGGATGGCTCATCAACACGTGCCATACAGTTTGCCGTGTCTCCAGCACAGGCTGCAGAGGATGAAGGAGATTCCAGAAAACAGGCAGTTAGAGCAGCTTTGACTCTCTGACCAGAAACAGACTTCGTAGAGTGGCCTGAGTGCCTCATGTCCTCTGGTTGGCCCCGTCCTTACTGCCTGGGAGTGTGGACTGCCTCGAGCAGCTATCAGTATGAAGCAGTGAAGCTTTTTCTTCATATGTGAATTATATTATTTAACTACTTAGAGCCATAGTTATGCTAAACACAACAAGTAGTCGTTGAATTCAACAATTACCATTACATCAGAACTGATTGTGGAATGACTGCTTCAGCTCTAGCTCTGGTTCCGCTTCTACATTTAAATATCGCGGGCTTCATGTGAGCCTTCGACTGAAACCTTGCGCTGCCAAAAAAAGAAGAAGAAAAACTCGCCAAAAAGCCCTGAATCAGATGTTACAGTCATGTAATCCAAGTGCATTTCACCTGAACTACCTGAACCTGAAGCAGCACCGTGGAGTCTGCTACCAGTAAATTCATGTTCGGCTGCCATTGCTCCTCCAGTAGAGCTTCAAACTCCGCTAGTACAGAATTAAAGCAGATAACTCGTCTTTGCAGATTAGGTCCTGCTTAGCTCGACACCTGTCTGCATATGCAGATGTTCCTTTTCCGTTAACAGAAGTTCCTGCTTGTTGTGTCATCCTGTTCAACATCGTGTCCATTTATGAATGCACTGAAGAACTACCAGTATGCATGCTGCCACACCAAGCACCATTACTATCACTTTCATGCTGGATTGTGATGCTGGCAGCACTACAACTAACTTTATTACCATTGGGGCAAATTGGAACAGTGCCACAAATATTTAATACCGAAACCTGACCTTCTTGCAGTAATAGCGTTGATGCTAGATAAGTCATTGAGAGTTGGGAGCCTTCACCGTCTCCTGAGCAGATGTGGTCTGCTCATGTCTGCCCTCATCATTCTGTCTGTTCTCAGTTCCTTTATTAGCACGTGTGCCATTTCCATCATTTCCGTCAGCTCAGTTTCTGCGTTTCCTGTTCACCACCTGCATCCAGTCGCCAGTGTTCCTCAGCATCCTCATCTTTTTCCTTACTGTGATCAGTCTTTGTCTTTCATGGAGGAACAGCCATGATTTCTTGTCCTGGTGGACTCATTCTCTACATGTTTATCCAACAAACCACATTCCTGCCAACCCAGATCATTTAATCCTGTAAGCCACATTCAATTTAAAAAACAAACAAACAATACAAACGTTTCAAATGTCAAATATTTAATGCACTTTTTACTTTGAAACAGGATAACAAATAACTGGGGTATAATGTACATGTATAAACTGATGCATATTTCAGTAATTCAGTGTCAAACAACTGCACAACAGCATGCCTTTGTTGGAAAACAGTCATGATGCTAAACTGGCCCATCTGCAGTCAACACCTGTCATCCACTGAAAACATCTGGTGCATCAAGCTCAACATGATCAAATATTTTTCCAGAACAAAAGTTCACTTTCAACATTTGATGTCTGTGACACTTTCAAACAAATCTGATTTAAATGTTTTTACATTTTCATTTTACCCAAAGTTGTTGTGTTTAATTATTTCTGTCATGCGTTTACTCATCTTCTGTAACCAGGTGATGTAGTATGATTTTGTTTGCTCAGTCTAAGGACTCACAGCGTTGTGCATCCGTGCACTTGAAAACTTGGAATCACACTGGAGCACGCTGACGAGGAGGCTTCTAGCTCCGCCCACCTACAGAATCCAAACGCCAAACAAAACACCAGGCATGCAACACCAGTCTTACAGCATTTCTAATTAGATTTACATAGCACTATTCCACAACCGCAGCCTTCTCAAAGCTTTTTATATTATAAAGGTAAAGAGCTGACAGCATGGATGCATAAGAGATGCAGACTGCAACAGGACGGGGACTTTTGTCCTTGGCATGAACCAAATTACTGTCTGAGGGTGTGACTGGGTCTGAGGTGCAGAGAAAATTCTCCCGAGCTACATGAGGAATGACAATGTTATTCCCTTTGTCGTTCCGTTTCTCCTGACCAACTCATTATGATTCCCAGGGGCAGTAAGGTCCAAAGCAGTGTTATGATTTAAGTCAAAGCAGTTTGTTACTGGGAACAAGGAAGAGTCCGTGGGAAACTTTGATTTGATTTTCAAGCTGCTTTTCCCCCCAGTTTCTGACTCCAGTAGAGCTTATCCAGAGGTCTTAGTTTTTGAACGCGACTACCTCTTATTGTACATCAGGAAACTCGAAGCACAGGGACGCCTGCAGAATAATAGCAAAGTATGATACTAAAGAGCGTGGGTGAGCGTCTGGTGGCTGGGCCTTAGTCCATGGGGCCC